AAGTAAGAGAAAGAATGCGTTGTATTGAGCACTTTTTTAAAAAATTAAATGCTAAGAACTTTGGATTCTAACTCTATTTGTTCTTTCTCTTACATCACGGTATAGTACTTTCTATATTTATGTTTTTTTTTTACTTACTTCTTCCTTCATAATTATGTAGTAATGTAAAATGTTTTTATCGTAATCTATAATAATAAATATATTTTAATAATATTTTTCTCTACATTGATTTGAGCACTTTTTAAAAAGTACATGCTATATATATATATATATATATATATATATATATATATATATATATATATATAAAATGTCTCCTATGCCGAAGTCCTGACCTCCTCTACCGACAAGGCTGAATGCTTTGCTCGGAAATTTTCATTCAACTCGACGCTCGACTCTTCCGGTGTACCCATACCCGACTTCCCTCTTAGAACTGAGGCCATATTGAGTGGGCTAAACATAACCCCATCTTTGGTACTGAGCGTTATATCTAATTTAGATCCCAACAAAGCTAGTGGTGGAGACGGGATACCAGCCATTGTCCTGAAGAAATGCGCGCCTGAACTGGCGCCCGCCCTTTCGAAACTATACAACTACTGCCTCAAGGAATCTTGTTTTCCTGACTGCTGGAAGTCCTCTTCGATCGTTCCTGTCTTCAAGAACTCCGGCGATCCCTCTGACCCTTCCAACTACTGTCCTATCAGTCTCCTTCCCCTCTTCGGCAAAGTCTTCGAAGCTCTAATCAATACCGGGGTGGTTAACCACCTCACATCCCATAATCTCCTCCCAGACAAGCAATATGGTTTCCGCTTTGCCCGATTTACAGCCGATGTGCTTACAGCCATCACTGAAACAGTCTACCGAGCTCTCCAAAATAACGGGGAAGCCCGAGCCGTGGCACTAGACATCTCCAAAGCATTTGATAGGGTTTGGCATGCCGGCCTTCTTCGCAAGCTCCAGGGTTATAGCATTTCGGGTCGATTATATAACCTAATACAATCATTCCTGTCAAACCGTGAATTGAAGGTCGTTCTCAACGGATTCTCCTCCAGTTCCTATCCCACGAACGCAGGTGTTCCTCAAGGCTCCATCCTAGGCCCCACTCTATTCCTTATCTACATAAATGACCTTCCTGACGCCATAACTTCCCAAGTTGGCATCTACGCAGATGACACCACAATTTATTCCTGCCTCAAAAACAAATCTAGTCTCGCTGACAAAACTCACCTGGCCGTGCGTCTCGAAAAGGACCTCCAATCGATTGTGAACTGGGGCATGAATTGGCTGGTCAACTTCAACGCTTCTAAGACAAAACTGCTCTTTATTAATCACCACAGAGAGCCTTCCCTTCCCTCCATTAGAATGTCTGACGCTCAACTTCTCGAGAGCAACTCTCTGCGGCTTCTCGGTCTCACGTTGACTGCTGACCTGAGATGGAATAAATACATCGAGTCAATTGCCTCGTCCACTGCAAGGAAAGTTGGCTCCCTGAGCCGCGCCAGGAAGTTTTTCTCCACGGAGGCGATCCTCCAGATCTACAAATCCACAATTCGCCCTTGCATGGAGTATTGCTGCCATATATGGTCTGGTGCCCCTTCTGTTTGCCTCGGGGTTCTTGATAGGCTCCAGAGGCGGATATGCAATGTGGTTGGCCCTGCCCTGGCGTCTCGTCTACAGTCACTTTCTCACAGACGCGCCGTCGCCTCTCTCTGTCTATTCTACAAATACTTTCATGGAAATTGCTCCGAGGAGCTGCATTCGCTGGTTCCCAGACTTCATGAGTTCCAACGCCCTACGAGGCTGGCATCCCGCTCTCACCCCTTCACTGTCGAAACTCCTAAATGTAGCCGTCTCTTCTACTCTAATAGCTTCATGTCTCGCACCTCTCCCCTGTGGAACTCCTTCCCTTCTCCTGTTTCCCTGTGAGCTATAATCTCCAGCTATTCAAGTGTAATGTCAATCGACATCTCCAGTTGCCTTGATCTATCCACTACCCTCATCCTTTCTTCTATCACTCCTATCTGATCTTGCTCTAAATTTTCTGTAACCCTTGCGTCCTAATGGCTTCCCGCCTTGCTTGAGGTGAAAATATTAAAATATATATATATATATATATATATATATATATATATATATATATTACACTCATGAAAACTACAAGAGATACAGGAATGAAAATAATATTAGATGTAGGGATTGAAACCTGCCCTCCCAGGCAAATAGTAGTTTACCCAGTGCATTTCTACTTAGTATTATCTTATTCCAATCTTACGAGACAAAATACCACAATGAAAAATACCATAGAAAAATAATGCCAATTTTATTGCCTAATTTGTTTAATTTTCAACAGGATAAGATGAGATCGGATGTCGGGTTAAACAAAATCACCTTCGTTTCCTTTGGCTTCTGACATTAGCTTCATGTGTCTTTAATTTCAAAAACATGCATCATCTTTTCCGACTTTGATTAATATTGTCACCACTCAAGTTTCAACGAAGTGAAATGTATTGGGTGTGACACTGGGGTGTTACTAAATACCATTCTGGGGCTAACTGTGTACAGTTTATCATTTTTTAGAATCTAGTTCACAGGTTGCTGAATGGCAGCAAAAGCTGCTGTTGCCCTCTGCACCACCATGGAAAGTTGAAGTGGTGTCCGAGTTATCGGAGGAACATTTCTTATTGCACATAATATCTCATAAACAAAGTACAATTAAAAATGATCCCTAAAAATAAAATACGAGGGATCAGCAGGAAATTTCGCTGACATCTGGGTGGGCTAGACGGCCATTGCGCGGGACACATATGAAAAGAAAAAAATTAACAAATGGGGCAAATATTAAGTATTGATATACAATGGATAGCAAACGCAGTAGGAAACTGAAAAATAAGAGAGATAGACAGAGACAGAGAGACAGATATATATATATATATATATATATATATATATATATATATATAGATAGATAGATAGATAGATAGATAGATATGTATGTATGTATGTACGTATGTATGTATGTATGTCTGTATATAGTTACTTTAGTGATTCGTTGTATTTCCTAGAGTTTGTTTCGTTATAGTATGAACTAAGATTAATCGCTATTTCAAATGCTGTTTTCATAGATGGTCAAATTGGAGCTCTTTTTGTAAACTCACCGCAATATCATATTTGTAACCCAGTTTTTGCCATTATGCCTTGTAACGTGTGTGTGTGTGTGCATATATATATATATATATATATATATATATATATATATAGAGAGAGAGAGAGAGAGAGAGAGAAAAGGAGAGACAATTAATACAAATAACTTAGTTGTGACTTAGCTGATCGATGCTATCTTCAGCATCCCGACTCAAGAATTTTGTAGACACCCACCACCCGGGAATCACTTCGTTCACTCGTTAATGGGTATCTGCAATTTACATACACTCTGTCTCAGATTTGAACACTTTTACCCATAAATGTAGCATCCCTTAAAACAATATATATATATATATATATATATATATATATATATATATATATATATTACAAATGAAAAGAACGCACGGTGAATACTAGACCCAGCTTCTTTAATATTTCCCCTTTATTAGCAAGATTAATGCTCGACAAACGTACATATAAGTTTTAGATTAAAATAAAATTCTTTTCATTATTCATTCAAAATACTCTATTTTAGGAATACGTTTTCACAACATCGCCCACGTGACGCCGACGTGATCATATTGAAACAGAACGCTGATCTTGAAAAATTTCAGTTGTCTGTTTTGATTAGTCTTACTCTTATGTCCATCGTCTTTTCATGTTGAATTAAATATAGTCTAATGTTAATTATGTTTTATGAATATGTCCTGAAGATGGTCTACTAGACCGAAACGTCCGACGTTGACATTATATTAACATTAAAACAGCATAATTGCATATTAGGATTTTTGTTTGTTTTTTCCGTATATTTTTCTTCATACTGTCGGATCTATATCCATATATTTGCTTACATATATATATATATATATATATATATATATATATATATATATATATATATATATATATATATTACTTTAAAGTTTATTTTTAATGGATATCCATATTTGAGCAGACGCACTGTTTATTTTAAACAGGATTATATTTCGTCTACCTGAAATTTTATTAAAGAAAAATGCGCTATCCGACATGATTCGAACCTCCGTGGTCCTTTATAGGAAAAACCGTTATTTTATCCGACATGCATTTGACCACTCGGCTACGAAAAGCTTCATCACCAAGCAATGTTTTATCTTTCTTTAAAACACATTTTACTTGTTCAGACTACATAGAAATTCTTAAATGTTCCGTTTCGTCTCTGAAACATAAACTAATCAATTTCTAGAAGGTTAATGGATTTTTTTTTAATTTAGCAGGATTCGAAATTGCATATCATTTGCTAGAGAAACCGTCATTTGATTCGATGTGCCTTTGACCACTCGGCTTACTAAGCAAGGTTCTATCTTCCTTCAAAGCATACGATTCTGAAATGATAGGGTACTAAGCAGTTATAACTTCCGAAGAAATCTGAACGGGTAAAGTGTGATTTAAATGCAGATAGAACCTTATTCGGTTATGCAGTTCTTCGTAACCGAGGAGTCAAAAGTACGTTGGATCAAACGAATCCTGCAGGAGGTCGCATTTTTCATTAATAAGATTTCTCGTGTTTTGAGGAAGCTTGATGCAATAAAATACTGTTTAAAATAAACGGAACGTCTGCTAAAATATAGATATCTATTAGAAATAACGATTAAATTGATAAAAATATTGTCGGATTAATAAATAAAAATCCATTAACTCTCTCTTTCTCTCTCTCTCTCTCTCTCTATATATATATATATATATATATATATATATATATATATATATATATATATATATATATATATAAAATCTTTGTCTTTTTTTTCTTACAATTTCTTCCATCATCTCTTCCCTTTTGCCTATCCCTCTTTTTTTTCTTCTTTATCCTCTTCATGATACACATTATTTCTAATTCTCTGTGTCTCTCTACCCATTTCTCTCTATATCCGTGTCTCTCTCTCTCTCTCTCTCTCTCTCTCTCTTTTTTCCTTTCTCTCATACACACCCTTATTTTTCTTCTGCATTTTTGTCATCTCCTTTCAACATCTTTCTTTTAACAGTTTTTGTTTCCTTCACGTCTCTCTCTACCTACATTACCATCATCCTAATCTTTCTCAAATGAAAATATTTCTTTTTATTTATTTATTTATCTCGCTTCCAAATATTCAGAAAAATGTGTAACCTTTATCATCGATTCTTGGCCTTTTATTTTAGATATGATATTTGGCGCCAGGACATTCCATATACAGTCAAAATGGAATAATATGTGAAAAGCATGTACTGGCGTAGATGGAGATAGACAAAAATAATTTTCTGCTATTTGTTGTCTGCATACCCACCTCTATCACCCACACTTGTTGGCACAGTCATGCATAAACTCAGCAAACGGTAAAAAATGTCACATTCCCAATAAGCATCAAAATCACAATGGTATTGATGGTCTATGACATGTCGAGGCATCTTACAAGCGCATTTAGGTATTTACTAACTGAAAGAATCCAGTGCCTATTTAGAATAGAAATCACCACACAGCAGTAACAGCCCACTTGACAAGCTGGCAAATCACTACCCTATACGCCCGATTTTGTAATTTATTTATCAAGCGTGGTTTTGAGGGGTTTTTAATCATTTCATCCACAAGTAATGTGATAAAAAAAACACTGCAGATGCAAGGGGTTACTGAGTGTGAAAGAAACAGAGAATAACAAAAGGACAGAATTCGAGGAGACAGAAGATGACGACTGGCATTGCATTTAAATTTTTGAAGATCGTAGTTGACAGGAAAGCGAAAGACATTTTTGCAAGCGAGAAGTAAAGAAAAAGCAAATATTAGCATAGTATTTACGGTTATAACTACCAATTTCAACAGTGAAAGTATGAGACCTACCCGCCAATATAGTTCTGTGCTTAAATTCGTAAATTCGAGGTACTCCAGGTTCAAGTGAGTTTCAATTGAATGAAACCGAGATACAAGGTCAGGACCGTCAATTTTGCAGATTCTTCTTTAGATTTTGTCAATAATCTCTAGATATATAAAAGAAGCACCAAATCAGATGCGGCAGCAATATCTGATATATATATATATATATATATATATATATATATATATATATAAGAACAAGCCCTCCTTCGAAACTGTTGAATTTGGTCATCTAGTCAGAGAGAACGAAAGATGCTAAGTAAATGCAAAAAGGAAAGAAAGAAAATAAATAAATGGAAGGAAATTGATGAAAAAGGAAAAAAGAAAATGAAAGAAAGAAGTAAAAGAAAAAGCACAGGAGAAAAAAAGAAAGAACGAAACAAAGAAAGAAAATAATAAAAATTTATATCAAGCGGTTCATGTTGTCAATTATGTCTCATAACACTTGTCTTACTGCATGACCTAACAGTGAGCCAAATAAAAGAAGGAAAAGTATTGATAATCTATGCAATCCATTTCACCTGACACAAACACTTGAAATAACCCAAATCAGTAACTTTTTAACTTCTTTTCATTCTAAATGTTATCACCTCATCATCTCACCTATGCAGTCCCCTGTCAAAACAGATACTCAAAATGTTGTGCAATCGTCTATTCGTGAACTTTACCTTTACTTACAGTTAAAGTGGCTTTTTTTCTTTTTCTTTTCCTTTTTCTTTTTTTAATCCTTGTTTTCAAACTGTGAAACATTGAGTCAAAAATCCTACTTGTTTCAAAGTGATGACAAAAAAAGTTAAAATCTTAAGAAAAGGTAATAGTTATTTCAAAGAAAAGGATAAAAGGGGCCGCTGGCATAGTGTTTATTAGCTCAGGTGAGCATATCAGCAAAATAGGTTCGAACTGAATGTCACAAATCCTTTTTGTCTCTCACCCTGTTACATGTCAAAGGGTGTCTAAGCGCATTTCATTTCTTGACAACGAACTTCTCGCAAAATGTACTGCTTTATATATTATTAATGATAGACAATAACAGACTAGTTGTAGAGAGAATAGATAAAGCGAGAAATTTACTTACATTTCTGAGCTGAAGTGATGCAATAGTTATTTCATTAAAATTGCTGCATGAAAGTTATTGAAAAATGCATGGCTATACTTCTCTCTGCTCCACTTCTCATCGCCAAATACCATGAAAAAATCCCTCTTCAGTGGCAGAATCCGAATGCTAACAGAAAAGAGTTGCTGAAGCACTTGGGCAATCCACTTTAACCTTACACACAAAAGTATTTGCAGTAAAACTATCACTTCTGTAGTAACTTTAAGATGGTTCTTTATTTTTATTGTAATTTTGAATGATGTCTCGCATCAATATTAAAATTGTGGATAAAATGCCCAAGGTTCATCTTATCATCTTGTCTTTTTTTACTTTAAATTCGGTTATTATCAAGAAATAAATGTTTTCAGTAACTTCTCCGCCAACGAAACTATAAATATACTAATAAAAAGTGTATATAAGCATTCTTCGCTACTACCTTGTAATTTTAGTTCAACTATTTTATATAAACCATTTCTATGCTTTTTCTATCCTGCGCGATACAAGTTATTTTTTATGATTATTGCAGCAACGTTTACAGACTGACGGTGGAGTTATGAGTTCCCCTCTCAGCCCTATTTCATTTGAATTCTATACGACTTACATAGAAGACAATTGCTTCTATAATTTTGCTTAATGACATATTCAGACTAATTAAAACTTAAACGGAATAGAAAAATCTTTTAAAATACCGTCGAAGAAAATTCTACTTTATACTTTTCTTATGAATTAACATTATTAATAGAATCCACTTGCTTGACACTTTCAATAATTTTTTTTTATTTCACTGTATGAAAATATATAAATAAAAATCTCTCGTCTTCTTAATTAAGAAATGAACATCCTCACAGATATAAAAATAGCACAATTAACCGAGCAAAATAAAATTTTCTTCACAAATTATTTTATAACGAACTGAGTGAGCAACATAAACAGTAACTTATCAACAATAATTTCCCTCACAATGTCAACGGCTTGCAGAAGTAGCTTCAAAATATTTTAGTGAAAAAAATGACACAAAAACAACCATCTTGATATAAGCCAAAATAAAAACGTCGTTAATTTAAAATTGAAAAAAAGCCATTAAAATATGATTCGCAAATAAAATATGATTCAAAGACACTGAAAAACACCTTAGACTTATCATTTTGTATAAAAAGTTTAAAGAATTTAACAAATTCATCGGGATCTCAAAAATCCCAACCTTGATAAAATCAATGTTGATTATAAATTCCCGATCTTTGCTTTTTCTATACCCCCAAAATTAAATTCTAGCATTTTCCACGCAAACACTTCCGTCTTGTAAATTAGCCTGTCACTTACCGAAATTTGTTGCATTTCGTGCACATATAGATCACCATATTACAAACAACCAAAATACAATTATTAACATACAGAAATATTAATAGATAATACCAAAATTTTATACAGCACACAATTAAAGATTCAATATATTAGAAGCTATTATTCTACAAAAGAAATAACCCATATTAAATAAAATACCTTGTACTACAAGAGAGGTCATTTGAAAATAATTATAAATATACCAAATACAACCAAAAGTATTATTATGCGTCAAAAATCTTTAATATATTCTAGTATTGTCAAACTTCATGCACCATATGTCATTATTTATACGGGACACTTATACGATATAAAATCTAGGACCTTCGATCCAATTCACAATTGAAGAAGAAAATAAGAAACACCTAGCCTTCCCGGATGTACTAATAACTCGCACAGAAAATGGGTTCAAAACATCTGTATATCAAAAGGCAACCGTCATCGAACAATATCACAATTTTAATTCCAATACAGTGTGAAGAAAGTGACCGTTCGTTGTCTACAAAATCGGGCAAAAATCATAAGTAGTGACCCAGACGAATACCACCAAGAAATGATCAGCATCAAACGTACCCTTCAGAATAACAACTCCCCACTAAACATGGTATCAGCGTCTGCAGGTGGGAGCATAAGGAAGAAGAAGGACGAGCAGAAAATTGCCACGATCTGTCTACCTTACGTCAAGCGCTTATCAGAAAAGATTCAGATCTGTGGTCATCATCAAAACAATATTCAGAAGTAGTACCAGTCTACGGAGAAATCTCTAATACGGAGGAGAATATGGACAAGAATTGTGTGTTCTCGATTTATTGCCGTTGTGGCAAATAATATAAAGCTGAAAGAAGAAAACTAAGGCTGGAGGATCATCGAAAAGCTTACGGGAAAATGGCTGTGGATAAAAGTGTTGTTTTGTGAATTTGTTGACATAGTGATTGTGAGTTCAATCCCTAGGCCGAGCAGTGTGTACTTGTACCCAGTGGAAACGGACAACCAACAGCCGAGCAGTACTAAATAAAAATAAGAGCTAGACGAGATATCCATAAACATGAGCAAGTGCAACGAGGAACAGGCTACGTCCATAGATTAAATAAAGTGTTCAGTTCAGAATTCCTTGTAGATTAAGTAGATCAATATACACTTGATGAAAGTCGAAGAGTACAATGACCGAAACGTTGTAATAACAACAACAAAGATGATGACAATAGTCCGAAGATAAATAGTGTAAATAATGATAAATCCTCATCCAAGAAATTTAGACAAAATATTAAGTTATTTGGGTCTTTAATTCTTCCAGTGTCTTCGAACGGGTCTTTAGTGTTGTTCCTAATGCTCTAAACTTTATTGACAAGAACATCTATTTCGTTTCCGATTTTTAGCAGCACCCAAACAAGATCCTTTTATTTATTTTCTTCTACTTTGGCTGTATGGCGCTTAGTGGGACAATGATATCCATCACTTTACAAATATTCCTTCGTTTGTTTTTCATCATCAAAGTC